ACACTGTTTTTCAGAGCAAGTATTAAATTTTCATGAAGCCCAATTTATTGATTTTTCTTTTCTGTTATGGATCATGCCTTCTGTGTTATGTCTAAAGAACTGTTTGCCTTGTTCTAGAGCCCAAGGATTTTCTATGTCTTTTTGTAAGAAAAAAAATCATATTATTTATGTGTTACATTTAGATCTGTGAGCTAATTTAGATCAACTCTGTTTAATATATAATTTATGTCAAGGTGAGTTTTTTCATGAAAGGATATCTAGTTCCAATGCCATTTGTTGAAAGGAAGACTATCCTTTTTCCTTTTATGCATCTATTTATTTGTTTGTTTGTTGTCTGTGCATGGGCAATGTGCACCACAGTGCATGTATATAAAATGTTTCTTTACCCCAATAAACCTCTCTGCCGATGCAGCAATCCAAATCAGACCAAATCAAACTGAATTAGAAAAAGCCTACATTTAATGGATACAGTGCTCCGGGATCGCCTTCCAGCCTCCAGAGAGGAGACAGGAAAGGGAGATTGGAAAAAAGGGAGATATTGGACTGGTTTCTGGGGGGCAGTTTAAATATCCTGTGGGAGTGGTCTTGAGCATCTCTGGGGGAGGGGTCATTTGTCGGGCTTTATGAGATGTGGCAGTGTTTGGAGGATGATGAGGGGGAAGGGAGGCTTGGTTGGAATCTTCACCGTAACAGTGTGGAGTTCAGAGGACAACTTGATGTTTTTTTTCCCTTCACTGTTATCCTGAACCAACTCCTAGCTTGCTTTCTTCTTTGATTGCTATCACTCATGACGGAACTTACCTGGCCATATTTGGAAGGGCTTATTTCAGTATTTCCTACCTTCACATTACATTCTCCTCTTTCAAGATGGTGTCAGCTCATCTGGTTCTTCACTGTTTCAAGTAAACTTTATAATCAGCTTGCCTGTGTTTACAAAAATCCCTGCTAGTATTTTAATTGGATTTGTGTTAAATCTTTAAGTAAATTTCAAGAGGATGGATACTTTGTTAGGCAGAGTCCTCTAATCCAGGAATTTCTTAAGAATCTTCACTTACAGTGGTTGTAGCGATGTCATTAACGTTTTGTATTTTAAATACATTGTTGTATATCTCATTAGGCTTTATACTGAAGGGTTTCATTTTTGGAGCTATTGTCACTGCTGCTTAAAAAGTTCAGTTTATGGCCAGTCTACTGAAATACAATGGATGCTGGACTTGCCAAAATTACTTTTAGGTACTAGAAACTTTTGTAGATTCTTTTAGGACTCTTTCTAATGAGAATGCCTTAATGTGTGTGTGTGTGTGTGTGTGTGTGTGTGTGTGTGTTTGTGTGTGTACATGTGTGTGCTACATGAGTGTGGAGTTCTGAGAACAACTTGCATGAGTTGTTTTATTTCCTTTTAACATGCGAGTCCTAGGGGTGGAACTCAGGTTGTCTGATTGTTAGCTATCTCATCAGTCTCATAATTGGCTTTAAAATCTGTTCCAACGTCCTCTGTATTTTAGCCGGGGGTATTTATTCCATTTACATTCAACATATATAAGTGTGTTTGATTTAATTTTTTTACATAAAATTTTTTAATTTCTTATTTTTCTTTTCAAATCCCATTTTTACGGCATTTGAATACTTTTCATACTTCACTTAAATATATTTGATTAGATTTTAAATAGATCTTTGTACAGTTTATCTTCAAATCCTTAAGACATTTTAGTGGTTGTTTTTGAGCTGACCTCTCCCTCCTTCCTTTCCTTTCACTCCTTTCTTCACCATCTTCCTTTCCATTCTCCCTCTCTCCATTGCCCTTTATTCCCCCCCTTCCTTCATTTCACATAAGTAAGATGTGAAAGGTTACCGTTGTCTTTATTCCAAATGTATTCCATTAACATACTTTGACACCTCTCCCCATAGTATGTTATGATTTTACTTCAGCTGTCACATGTATTTTAAAGAGTTTGTGGGCTTTTCATTTGAATAGTTTCTGTAACTGCATATGTAGATACTAACAACTTAAATTTCTTTTCCTTCCACTTCCAGGGTTCCACACTTCCTTAGGTATCACTTCCTTTCAATCTGAAGAACTTCCTTTGTCATTTCCTTTAGAGCAGGTCTGTTGCTAATGAATCTATTTTCCCGAGTTTGAGAATGCCTTGTTTTACCTTCATTCTTCGGTGTTGTTCCTGGATGTAGTCTTGCATGACGGTTTCCTTCAGCCTGTAATAGTTTCCCTGTCCCTGGCCTCTCTAGCTGTGATGGAAAAATCTGCTGCTTTTTGACACCCCTGAATGTAATATGTCCATTTTCTCATGCTTTCAAGCACTGTGCTTGTCTCTAGTGTGCACTATGTCTAGGTGTGAGGTCCTAAGCCATTTTTCAAGTTGAAAGTTTTAAATTATTTCTTTGGGTATTTTTTCCCTGAAACATATTCTTTTTCTTATTTATAATACTTTTAATATTTCAGAGACTTTGATGAACATTGTCTCACAGGTTGTATTAATGATTTTCAAATTTTCTTTTGCCTCTTCTTTCCTGTTGGATTCTTATTTGAAATTGGGGTTGTCTCTGTTTTAAGTCATTTGATTGTTGTATTTTTGACTATTCTAGTTTCCATTTTTACAATTTCTGTTTGGTTTTCTTTTATAACATCTGTTTCTGTACTGATACTTTTTTCTGATTTATTCATTTCACTGCACAAAGCTTTACATTTTTTGGTGGAAGTGTCTTGAGATAGTGTTACTATGTTGCCCAGGCTGTCCAACTTTACCATCCTCCTTTATTTACCTCCTGAATGATGGGAATACAAGAGTATACCAGCATGTCTGGCCCAGGTTTCACATATTTATATAATTGGATGTCTTTATTTTTTTCTCACAGAAACCCAGGAGATTGATTTTATTATTCTTATGTTAGAGATAAAGAAACAGAGGCTCAGAGTTTAACTGGAATGTTGTAATCTTTCATCATCTCTCCTTTTGCCATTTTACTGTCTCTCCTCTTTTATGTAAATAGTAGTATACTGTATATAATGTTGTATGCCATAATAGTTCTATTTAACAATACATCTTGGAGATAAGTACACATATAAGTACCCAAACTGTTCTTTCTTTGTTATGTCTTTGTTAATATTCCATTAAGTTGACATACCATGATTTATTTAACCACAGACTGTTGGCTATCGTAATTTAAACTAACCATATACTATTCAAATTTAAGAACTCTTTAAAGTTCTTTAAGATACATATATTTAAAACTCCTGAGGGTACATAAGATGCATAGTGCACACGTGTGTGAATAGTTCAGTGAATTAACAAAAAAGATGCCACAACTATCATCACTGGATGATAAGAAACAGTATTTTTAGCACCCCAGAAGAGTTCTTCATTGATGTTCCCAGAAGCCACCCACTTTTCCTCTCCAGCAGATAACTATCATCATTCTAGACTCATTTCAAGTCCTTTTCTACCTGTGCTTCTGTTACTCCTGACCACAGTTCTGAGGAAAGGAAACCCCACCTCCCACTCTCACCTCCCCATCCCCCAACCCCAGGCAGAAACTGAAAGCATGAATCAAAGAAGCAGAATGTGGGGATAGTGGGAGGACTTTGAAACATGTAGATGTTTAATCATGGTGGTGGGGGTTGTGTTGACACAGGAAGTTAATTTAGTGTGTAGGTTAATGTCTCCTTGGAGTTAGCTAGTCTAGCCTGCTCAGAATGCTGGGTCAAAGAATCCAGCTATTTCTGTCAGCTATTTCCCATAGTCAGTGAGTTGTACTTGGCAGATCAGGTTGCTGGAGTCCCAGCAGGGTAGGAGCCTAGCTATTGTGCTACTTACTGGTGTGGTCCTTGATCTTCTGTACAATAGGGTAGTACTTCCACAGTGTAGCTTAAGAGTTGAGGCTCCACATATGAAGTTATCTAGGTCAATGTTTGTTTGCTCAATTGGTCGCAGTAAATATCACTTTGTGTAATAGCTCTGCCCCTTATTTTGACAAATTTTAAACTCATGGAAAGTTGTAGATCATTGTAGATTCACCAGTTGATGTATCTTCCTTTTTCTTTTCCAGCACTCTTACTTAGCTGCAGATTCCATCACACAGTACTTTGGCATGAGTTGTCTTGTTAGGACACTTTCCTAGAAAATCGTAATGTTACAACCTAACATAAAGTTGTTTTCTGGTTTCCCCTAGTTACATCACCATATGTAATATATATTTAAACATTTGAGAGTCTTCCATTGTGCTTACCTGTCTTGTTTCTGTAACCTCAGTTTGTTTAGAAGGCTCCCACTACCAATTTTACTATATTGTTATTAGGGTTTTTGAAAAACTCAGGTCTATTATTTTACATAGTCCTTCAGTTTAGATTATTCTGATTGACTCCTTAATGGGATTGGTTTAATGACTGTAGACTGAAGTGTTTTAAAAAGAATTGTTTGCTCCCAGTGATTAACTTCAGGAGGCACATGACATGACTTTGACCCATCAGTGGTGATAATAGTTATATTTCCTTGATTGAGTTGGTGTTTCCAGATTATGAAAGTCCCTTTTCTTTTTGTAACTAGTAAGACACCCTTGGGGAATCCATTGAGCTTGAATGTGCTGCTCTTTGGTGATCTGTCCTCTGATGCCATTTCAAGTGTTGATGGTTCTTATCTAAGTCATTATTACTGTAAAAGTTATGTATCAGTGGCTCTTATTGTTCTATGTCTCCTTTTCCTCATCATTTCTCTCTTTCTTCCTCTTCCCTTCCACCTAATCCTATCCCACTATCCCATTCCCGTGTTCCAGTCTCCTCCTTTCCCCCTTCTCCACTGATATGGAGCCATGCATTCTTTTTTCACTTGTTTATTCCCATCAGTATTCATTTTGATGCTACGATTGTCTTTCTTGTGGCTAGTGGGAACCATCTGCCCTAGTGGATTAGTATCATTGCAAATAGGGTAAGCTCTGGCATGTGACCTAGCTACTGTATCTGAAGTGTCTGTCCTGTGCTTGCTTTGCAGCAAATCACTGAACTGAAGAAGGAGAACTTCAACCTAAAGCTCCGCATCTACTTCCTTGAGGAGAGGATGCAGCAGGAGTTTGCTGGCCCCACGGAACACATCTACAAGACTGTGAGTAGCCACTTCTGGCTGCTGTCCCTTGTGTCTTTGCTCATAGTTTTTCCCAGAAGACATTTAACTGGTATTTGTTCTCAGCGTTAGCATGAACAGTTGTTGTCATTTAATTTGGATTGATTTTGGGGAAAAACATGATGCTAGGATAACCCTCAATAAAGTGAGATATATGATCTTAAGGAAGTCTTTAAATCTTTTTGACATCAGATTTCTGGTTCACAGTCTTGGTCTCGGTTGTCTTTTTATAATTATTTATTATTTTGAAATAGGCAGTGGAGCAGTAGAATAGCTTTGTAATTGAATGGTAGTGTTACCAACTAGTAGAGTGGGTGACTTTTAGCCAGTCACTCCTCTGTCTGGGCTTGCTTCCACAGTGTAGTGATAGCCCTGGGACTGTTTGGATGAAACCAGGGTGACAGGTGCAAATGGGGTGATAAGTGCAAATGGGATGAATGGCTCCAGGAAGCTGCCAGTGCTGAGCAGTTACCATCACAAGCTTATAGACTCCTTGACTGTCAGGAAAAATCTCTTCCCATTTGAAGTCCTGACCTGTGGGTCTGTGTCTGTAAACAAGCTTTGTTTCTGAAAGTTGCAAGTAGAATTTGGTTTTCTAGAGATCTTATGAGTCCAAACAGCATATAGGTGCCTATTTCTTAGGTTTCGCTGGTAGATTAGCCTCTGGCCCAGGAATTATTCTATCTTTTAGTCTCTGAAGTTTGTGCTGGTAGAAACTTGTGAAAGTGTGGGGGAAAGCAGTTCTCTTTGGCAGGCAGGGTGAGAGTTGGGGACTACATAGGCTTTCTTGAAGAATTTTACTGCCTTTCTAAGCAGTAAAGCTCTCTTGTCCCTGAAGGCACAGTTTCTTCCTACAGTGTCACAGTGGAAAGACAAAGAGGATGGCCCCTTTCTGGACAGAGTGGTGATACACTCAGAGTCTCAAGGGGAGCCAATAGTTAGAGCACACTGTGCACTGTGGCCAAGCATCTCAGGACTTCAGGAAGCAGGATGTCAAACTGTCTGCTCCTCACTGGGTCCACAGTTCTTAGGGGCTCTTACACCTTGGTCGTTTTACTGTGATTCTCAGGACAATCCCAGACAGTGGAGATTATCCTGGTTTTACAGTGAGAAAACAGAGGCCATAACTTGCCTACTGTCATGGTGGTACAAAATGGGTTTTGAGCCTGACTGCCTGCTTCAATGTACTACTGTGTCTTCTTTTTATAGACTGAATGGCCTGGTTTAATTATCTCCCTCACTAAGCTTTCGAGCAGGTGTGTGTGGTTCAGGTTCAGAATTTAAGAAAACATAAAATATGGTCTGCTAAAGAGATGTTCTGCTCTGATCCTTGGGTCCCTAGATCTAACCAGTATTATTGATGTCCTGTGCAGAAGAGTTTTGTGTAGAAATTTACATAAATTTCTTTGTGAAACCCCTTTTGCATAAGTACCAGCATGTCTGTTCTGCATTTTGCAGTTTTCATTTAATGATTTCTTGAATGTCTTTCCCAATAGTAGTTTAAGAGCTGTTTCAGTCTTTCTTTTATAGCTTTATAATAGTCCATTTTGTGCTTTGAAGGCATTCTGACTCTTGGTTTGCAAATGGCTATCATCTTACATACACATTTAGAACTTGAGATGCTGTGTGTGGGGAACATAGGCGTGCTAGCTAGCCATTGGGTCATGCACAAGCCATGTTCCTAGAACATACTCTGTCAAGCTCTTACTCCTGCTCTGCCCCGTGGGAGCTGGTGGAGGAACCCAAGGCTTGGAGGGTGTTTCTCACAGAGGCACACATGACGACATTGTGCACTGTCACTCGGTCTTGTCTGTTAATGTAAAGGAACATTTATTCTAGAGAAAAATTCTGCCTCATAAACTTCTTGAGTTCCTGTCTGACAGCCAAGAGAGCGGCACAGACTTCTCTCAGTGCTTATTTGGTTCTTAGTCCTTGGGTCATGTAGATGCCTTGCTCCTCTCTTGACAGCTGTGGGATCTGACAGTCACAGCTCTGCTTTCATATCTCTAAGGACAGGCACAGGGTCACACTACTGGCTACTTTATTCTTAGGAAGTCAGAGCCTAGGTCTGTCATGTTGACTTCAGTGTCCTTAGTGCTACGCCTGCCACTAGCACTCAGGTGTCTGTGAAGTAAATACATGAGTGTACACTGACTTGCTGTCATCTCTTCCTGTGAAAGGGCTGTGTCCTGCAGTGTGGGCTGCACTCTTGACTGGGCATGCTCCTTTCCCCAGGGCCACTTGACAGGAAGGAGGGAGGCATGTCCTTTGGATTGTTAATTTTATGAAAATGTTGTTATTTAAAAAATACAATATGGTAGAAAATTGTAAAATCAGCATGAATTATTAAAAAAATAAGAGTGAGAATTCAGAGAAATCTTGGTTTGCTATCAGTCCTCTGCATGCTGTATCCAAGTCTCCATGTCATGAATTCTATGTGCATTCTCTGGACTGCATTTGTGGCTAAGTCAGAAGGCCACCATTACTCTGCTGCTTCCCACTGCCAAAATTTCTGTCTTTGTGTTCTCACCTGAGTGAGTGGTGAGCCCAAGGCCATGTGTGACTTCCTTTGTTCCAGTTCCCTAAGGGAAAAAACAGTTGATGATACCATGATATCCCTTAGAGACAGTTCCCTGTATAAGCTGGGGCTTTTTGTGAGTGTCCTGAAATCACACTGAAACAAGACAGGCCAGGCTGCAGCTTCCCATTTATCCATTCACAAGTTTTATTTTATTTTTGTTTTTAAATCTGTAGCACGTTCCCACTGCAACAACCACATGCGTGATTGTAAACAACTAGAAGTAATTGACTTTGAATGGGAAAAGCAAACTGTAAATTTGCTATGCGGAGGGCAAACAATTTTTAAATCAGCCTCACTTGTATGACATTTATGCCTAGATATTTGAGTGCTCTGGCTGTTAGACACTTGGAATATTTACATAATTGTTCCAAGTCTTAAGGAATTCAGGGCTTTCTTTTGAGACCACCAGTACTTAATAATTCCCTTTTTGGTGCCTCAGGGCTAATGAGGGTTTTGAGTCTAACATCTGCTGTTACAACTGTGGCATAGTTAGTCCAGGCCAGAAGTAGTTTGCCCACCATCAGCGCTTGCTACTCCTGCACCTTACACTGTGTTTTTTATTTTCTTATTGCGCTGGAAGAACATTGAACTCAAGGTGGAAGTGGAAAGTCTGAAGCAGGAGCTCCAGGAGAGGGATCGGTTGCTCGTCAAAGCCTCGTGAGTACCTGTCACCCCAAGAGCTTGGCTATCGGGTCCCATGGGTGTGTGTTGGGTAGTGAAGCATAGCTTTTCTAAGCCGCTTGTTTTCTGACTGAGGGCTCCAAGGGACTTGTAGTTTTTATTTGTTTGTCAGCTGTTTTTTGAGAATAATGTAGTTATAGGTAGATGTACAGGACTTAAGGGTACAGCGTGATGCATTTTTATGAAGCAAGCATGTATGTGGAATCCCCATCTGAGCCTGAAAGGAAACATTACCAAATTTCCAGAAAGCCCCCTTCCCTTCGTGTTTTCAGAACATCCCCCTTTTCATAAGATAGCCACTCTTCTCAACACAATTGCTTAGTTCTGCCTATTTTTGAACTTTATATAAATGGATTTATGCAGTAGGTCCTCTTTTGTGTTTAGCTTCTTTCCCCAGCAGTGTTTATGAGAGTCAAGTCACTTGTGTTGTGTTTTGGGAGTTCATTTGTTTTCCCTGATGAAAATGCCTAAGAGTAGAAGGGGTTCTAGTGGGTGAGGCTGGGAGACAGAGGGAGGGTTTCAGCCAGTAACTTGTTTTAAGCCTGTTGTGTGTGTACTAAGGGACTCTAGTAATATTTTATTTAAAGGGATTGTAATGCTTAAAAATTAGAAAACTACTATGTCCACTAATTAGTTCCTTTATTCAAGTATTTATTGAGTGACAACCTATAGATCCATTTGTTCCTCCTCTGTCCATCAGTGTTTATCAAAAAATTACTGGTGTCATACATTGAAGATGTGCAGAGACACTGACGAATGCCCCAACCTGTCATAGCCATAGGCTACTCTTAACGCATTATGTGCAAGTGGAGTGTTGTGGAGGTGTGGTGATGGCATGTGTGGCAAGTGAGGATACCAGAGTTGCTCAGTTTTGCCCCAGAAGAATGGAATATCTACCCGGGTGGTCCACAAGGGCTGCGTGGAATTCTTTGTACTTCTGTTGTCATGGTAGTGGAACTCCTGTTGGGTGTGGAGGACGAAGAACATGCTTGCAGCATTCCCAGATGGGCTACAACTGCGTTTGGTGGCTGCAAGTTGGCTATTGTGGCTTGGGGGCAGACCAGAGACTCCTAAGCCCTGACTTCTCCTCTGAGTGCCACTGAATGAGGGAATAAATTAAGAAATATACTCAGACTAAGAGATCCTCATTGTATGAGTACTGAAATAAGTCTGCTGTACCAGGCCCAAGATCAGTATGTGAATTTGCCTTAATAGTCATTGCCACAATGCTGCAAATCTTGGGTAGTACTTGTTTTTGGCAAAGTACATATACATTGGAATCACAGCTCACAAGGGCTCATGTACATTCCTCAGTACTATCACTCAGGATGGGGTGTTCTGGGTGCTTACATGCATGTTTGTATACTTCTCTGCCAGGCCCTTTGTGATCTGACCAGTTTTGTTAACTTATTCAGAAAATACTTAGCGAATGTCAGTTGTGTGGCACTGTATGAGGCTGCTGGTAATACAATGGTAATTTAAACAGCTACATGAGACTTGCATTCTTCTGGGAATGATGATGATGCAATATTTACATTAGCAAATGTATGACTACAGGTTGGGAGAAGAATCGAAAAGAGGAAAAAAGGAACCGTGAGAATTTATAGCTATGACAGTAGATGCATAGACATAGTGAAATAGAGGGAAGACATGCCTGCAGTGGTGACATTTGAAGTATGAGGTGTCAGTAGAATTAGACAGGTGAGTGGATGGAGATGTGTCAACGAAGAGGCTGTGCAAGACAGAGAAAGTAGGAGGAGAGTAGCGCACTAGAGATTTGGTCTTTGTTCTAAGGTTAAATAAGTAAGTGACACTCTATGGAGTTTGCTTTTTTGGAAAGGCCATTCTGAATTTTGGGTGAAAGAGGTAATGTGAGGATGCTGGGAGACCAGTTAGAAAACCAGATGGGTGGGTGAGGTGAGAGCTGAGTGCTGATGTGGATGGTAGGCTAATGGGAAAACCCTTAGGAAGCACAGTCCACACAGGCCTTGGTGATGGTGAGAAGGCAGATGTTGGGTGTATTAGTCACAGTTTTGTTGATGGAATAAAATAAGGGAGAGAAGAGGTATATTTTAGCTTATAGTTCCAAATATATAGTTCCAGATATATAGTTCCAGGTATATTTTAGCTTATAGTTCCATCCATTATGACAGGGAAGGTGTGGCAGGAGCAGGAAGCTGGATGATCACACCCCCCCCCAAACAGCAGAAAAAACAAACAGAAATTATTGCCAGTCCGCAAAACCTCAAAGCCCATCCCTAGTGGCATTCTTCCTCCAGCAAGGTTCTGTAACTTTCCCAAACAGTGCCACCAACGGGGGACCAAGTGCTTAAATACACAAGCCTATGAGGGACATTTTTTATTCAAGCCACTACACAATGAGAGGCTCTCTGGGGCTAACATTGACGTCATAATTTCAGCTTCCTCTCTACCACCTGTTTCCCCAGCACATCCTAGAGGTTCCATAGCTCTTCTTACTCTTGCTTCTCTAGCTTCTGAGCAGAGGTCTTTTCTTCTTAGCCCTCCCAGCCCAGTACCTTCCCGTTCTCTCCTTAATCTATAAGACTCAGGGGTCCTTGTAGCTTCTTTTAGCCTGCAATGGCCTCTTCCATAGACGTCTCTGAAGGCTCATTTCAAATGAGTTCACCAGACCCAGGATAAATGATAAATAGGTGTTTTATTGGGGATGAACTTTCACACAGTTAACAGTAAACAACTGTCCTGGTGTCCCTGCTTGGAGGATGCAGACCCTGCAGCTCTAGTGCTCTCTGTGTCCCCCCAGGTCCTCTACTTTAAGCAGGTCACATCTGCACCTGAAACCATGCCCAAGGGGTGTGGCCACTGTTACAGGTTCACAGGCAAGATGCCACCACAATTCTCCATCATATAGTGTCCACCCCACATGGGTAGCTCTTTTCCATGTCTAAAATACTTTCACACCCACACATATTATTATTCCGGCAAATCTCAAGGAGTTCCCTCATTTTATAGAAGAGGGAATCAGGCCTAGTAAACAGAAGGGCTATGGCCTTAGAACTTGGATTAGAGGTCAAGTCTCACTTTTATATTTTTAATCTTTCATGTGTTGACATAGTGTGTGTGTACAGTATTTCTAAGAAGGCTTTTAGGGTCTCATCATATCTGCTGATGACCCTTTCCCTTTTGCTGCTAACTACCCACAATCCAGCAGTTTGTCTATAGTATATGTTGATAGAGTCTTGTTAATGTAATACTGGCAGCCCTCTTTTTCTGAGTTGAGTTTTGGTTGGGGAAGGGGTAGGACATGGGCTCTGCCACAGGAAAAGGACAATTCCAGTTTTAATGGAAATAATCTAGAGGAAATGTTGGAGGTTAAAAATAGCAATGAGGGGAGTATTTATGGAAGGTTCTTTCACATTGAGTGGAAAGCTGATGTATACCTCTTAGGTCCGAGAGTCTGCCTGATTCTATACATAAGGAAAAAACAATGGTAAAGGGAGAGAACTAATACTGGTTTTGATTCTCCTTTGTCTAAACTTGTATGTTTGGTGGTTGACAATTGCATGGGCTGCCAGTGTTCCCATTTGAGTGAAGAGAAAGCTGAGACCCAGAGGAGAATTGTACTAAGTTGTTTCCAGTGCTGCTTCTGAGCCCACTCTGCCTTGATGTGAAGTAAACATATTTATATGCTGGTTTTCCATTGTTCTGTGTCTCAGTTACAATAAGGGGACATTAAAAACAAAAGCAGTCATATTGTTGGGAGCAAATTTTATCTCTGTAGCTTTAAAACACAAACAAAAAATAATAATTCCATTAGCAAAGGAAAATTGCACCATACTGCTGAGTATAAATTTTATTGCTACAGTAACTGTAAAATAGAAGGATGATGAATGAAAAGTTGGATCATTTATTATTGTGAATATATTTTATTGGTATAACTAAAACACAAACAGACTGAATAATGCTAGTAGTTGTTAAAAATTGTACAGCCTCTTGACAGTGTCTGTGACTCAGGCTGTGAAGTGGCAAGATTAGATCTAATGCTGAGGGATGGAGACCAGAATGCAGGAGAGGGCAGGGGCCAGACAGGGGACTCTGAAAGCCCCAGGGCTGACACATCTATGAGCACCCAGGTAGAAGAAATTCAGTACCAGAAACATCTGTATAGGAGCTGAAGAGATGCTGAGTGGGTTAAGAATCTGCTATGCAAGCACAGGGACCCCATCATCTGTATCAAATCTAGGTAAGGTGTTTGTAACCCTAATGCTGGAGATGGGGTGGCGGTGGGGGGAGGGGAGATGGGGCTTGATGTATAAACAGCTACAGGTTCAGTGATAGACCCTGTTTTAAAAAAATAATAAGGTGGAGAGCAATAGAAGACAGCATCGCCCTTTGTCCTCCATACACATGCTAATCCACATGTGTGCATATGCCACACATTCACACACGGAGAGAAAGATAAAAGTCTCTATCTACAGTTTGGGAAAGAGAGGAGGCCAGTCTGGAATTCTTTTTGTCATCTGTAATGCCCCTTAAGGAGAGATAGAAATGAGTGCGAGTCACTGTGAATTGGAGAAGGCACTGATCCCAAAAATGAGCTGAGTGAGTGGGGGCTGAGGACACTTAGGGCAGTGATCAGGAAGTGAGCATGTTGGCCTCAGTTCTGGCCAGGGGTTGATCTATTCTGAGCTCAGAATCCAGCAGAGGGGTGGCAGGAGGCCTCTCAGCAGCACAGCAGGGCTTGTGCTGCCCTGGCATCACAGGAGAGGTCTCACAGCAAGATGTGGGGGTGGAGGGAGCATGCAGAGTGCTGAGGCAGGGCTGCAGAGGACCCCGGGTGGTAGCCCATTAGTTCCAAGAGGTAATCATCTCATTTTTCACATGAGGAGACTGAGGTGTAACAACTAATTTACTGAGGCTAGGTAATTTACCCAGAGCCACACTGGGGATGGGATAGAGCGAGAATTTAGAAGCAGATCTGTCCAGCCCGAGCCGGTGTTCCTCCTTTCAGTATTTACACTGAATTCCATTAATGTGATATTATGATGGCTTTCTGAAGCCTTGCTGAAAGGAAAACTAGATATAAATAAGGCCTTTATTTGCAGGTGATCTCTGTGGGAGACTTGGTCAGCCAGCACAGCCCTCTGAGTGGCACTGTTCTGGATGAATGTTTCACGTGGCCCAGTGCGTGAGCATCTGGCTATACAGCTTTGGGTTAGGGAATTTTATATACTCCTGTGTGGCAAGGAGTTTTGTTTGGTTTTCCTGCTGCCGTTTTTCTGAGAAGCCAGCTTTAGGTGGAGCTATTTCCTCAGTTTTCCTTCTGGAGACTGCAGTCATTTACAATGCAGTGAGGACTGAAGTCTCACGGGCCCCACAGCCACTACTGCCTTTCTTTTTGCATCACTGGTCATGGCCCTGTGTCTGGTTTTAGTGTCATGCCTGCCTGATTGTCCTGCAGAGAGAACATTCTAAGGTTCCACAGCTGAGTGCCCTGGGCATTTAATGTCACACCACCAGGTACAGGATACTTGTATCCACATCTCTCTTCATACCCTAAGTCGTAGCCTGTGCTGGATCCATCTTGCTGTACTTAAAATGCTTGTCCTCAGGCTACTGCAGGGTGGAGCTTGCAAACCCTAACCTCACAGATGTGTTTGTTGCATGTTACACCTTTGCCCATTGGTTCCTGGGCACCTTTCCTATACCTCTGGTGTCAGAGTACTAGTGGGAAATTTGGCAATTGCTATCCAGAGTTTTAAAGTGTGCTTACCCTTGGGCTCTGATATTCCCTTTCTAGGAGTATGTCCCTAGAAACCATTAAACCATAGCACTGATGTTTAGTGAACAGTTGCTTTGTCCAGGCACCTCTTCTCAGATCTTGGTGTTACCAGTCAAATGTGTTACATCAGACACAATTTGGTCTTTGAAATATAGAGAATTGACTTAATAAAGTATTGCATATAGTGATACAGTCTTTTAAGATGATGCAGATTTATATTTACTGACTATTCTAAAGGGTGTTCTCTGTATAGTAAGTGATCAAGTTAGTTCACTAGTATACACTAAATGGTTCTGTTTGAGTAGACCAAACCTGAAAGGATGTGTGTTAAAATGTTAATTATATCCTGTGGGATAACTGCCCCCCTCCCCAACTTCTGAATTAGCTCCGGCAAATGGGAGAAATGACTGGAGAATGTCCCTTGTCTTTTGGGGCTGGTGAAGTTGCCATCAGACAGGCATCCAACTGCATACTGACTGCCCTTTGCCTCTCTGCAGCAAAGCAGTGGAGAGCCTAGCTGAAGGGGGCGGTTCCGAAGTCCAGCGCATGAAAGAAGATGCGAGGAAGAAGGTGCAGCAGGTGGAAGACCTCCTGACGAAAAGGATACATCTTCTAGAAGAAGTAAGTCTGGAGATGCCAAGGGTCCTCAGCTTACAGAAGGTCAGTCCTGGGGAGGGTATGGTGGCGTTCCTTTCTCCCTGAATGTCACATTTCAGCAGAAATGCAGCCACCCTCTTGTTATCGAGTATTATCTGTGTTTGAGCCTTATTGTAGGCACTTTGCACATGTAACTTATAACCCTTACACTGTTGTGTTCCTTCCTGTGAGGACACTGAGGTACAGAGAGAAGTACTGACTAGCCTAGGAGGTTGCTGAGGCCCACTGCAGGAATGACCATCTAGCCCTAAGCAAGTCCAGACTCAGATTGCTGATGCATGGCTGTTGCCTTCCCAGCTAGCTCTTGTCCTCTCTCTAGTCTCTGTCCAGTATCTTGCCAGAGCTGAGTGGATACACTTCTCTAGGAGACTCACACACAGTTTCTTGTGCTGTTCATTCTGTCATACGGTTGCTGTGACTACAGTTGGGAGTCAAGTGCCTCCTGGCTGAACACCGCCTCTGAATAGGACAATAGAAAGTGTTTTGCTATTTTAAGCTAGTATTAAGTTCCAGAGTTTGAGTAGCTTTTTCCTGAAATGCTTGGGACCAGAAATGGTTTAGATTTGGACTTACCATTATTGAACATTTGTACATAACTAATAAGATAATCTTGGAGAAGGGCTCTGAGACTAAACATGGAACTCATTGATTTCATATATGCATTATATATGAAGTCAGAAGGGAATTTTGTGCAATATTTTAACATGCTTGTGTTTTCAATACAACCCATCACATGAGGTCAGATGTGAAAGATTCTACCTTTGACATGTTGATAAGTTTTATGTTTTGGGCCTTTCAGAATTTGGATTGGGATGATCAGTATATATTAATAAATTATTATTGTGGTGGGTTATTTATTTATTTATTTATTTATTTATTTATTTATTTATTTGAGATAGGCTCTATTAGGTAGTGAGGCTGGCTTCAAACTTGCAGTCCTCCTGTTTCAGCTTCCCAAATATTGTAATTACCAGCATACATCACTATCTAAGTGTTTCTACTGCTGTAAAAGACACCATGATCATAATAACTCTTATAAAGGAAAACATTTAATTGGGGCTGGCTTACAGGTCAGAGGTTTAGTCCATTATCATCATGGCAGGAAATGTAGCAAAACAAAGGCAGACATGGTCCTGGAGAGGTAGCTGAGAGTTCTACATCTAGAATGGCAGGCAGCAAGAAGAGAGAGAGACATTGGGCCTGGCTTGCATTTGAAACCTCAAAGCTTATCCCCAGTAATACATTTCCTCCAGTGGCACCACACCAAATCCAACAAAACCACATCTCCTAATAGTGCTACTCCCTGGTTATCTAGCATTCAAATCTGTGAGCCTACAGTGTTAGGGTGTTGAGGGGAGGGCATTCTTATCCAAACCACTACAAGCACCACACCCTTAATCAAGACACTTGAAAAAGTTGTCACCTCTTGATGCAACACCTTGTTTGTCCCATGCATACTTCCCAGTGCTTCTGCTTACTTGACTGCTGCATTTATCCCATTGGGTGAAGCATTTGCCTGTGTGAATTGAGCACAAAAGCACCAGCTTGTAGCACTGACTGCTTTAACAAGAGTATACACTAAGCTATGGGAACTCACCATAGTGGTAGGCCCCCTGCTGAGCCTCATATGTGCACTTAGCTATCCCTCTAAGAAACTCATGAGCTAATTACTTCCATTTCTCCCTTTCTTTCTCTATTTTTAAATATAATGAAACAGCAGGCACAAAGTGGTCTGGTCATTTGCTCAAGGTCACACAGGTGATAAATGTCAGGTGATCTAGCTATGTTTTAGGCTGCAATATTCTACATTCTACTGTCTCAGTCCACAACACTTTAGGGTTAGGTCAAGATCAAATATGATATAAGACTGCTTGCTCAGAGCCTGGCATTTACTAGCCACTCAGCAAATAACAGACATTGTGTTCGCTGTCTAAGAAATATGCAGTGACCGACAAGCCTCCAAGACAGACATTGTTAGTGGAGATATTAAGAAGGGAAAGGGCAGGGGAAGAGAAGCCAGTTTTTAGCTTCTGGGATGACAGGTATTGGCAGTCTCATAGCAGCTCTTTGATGGAATAGTGGGTAACCTGTTTTCTAGAATAAAAACCTGGGGCTCAGAGATTAAATGACTGTCCAAAGTCACACAGCAAGTAAGTAGGAGAGCTGCATTTTGGACCCAGTTCTATTTGACCTTTATGTTTGCAGTATGATCTGAGGCATTGGTCTGTGTGAGTGGAGAGTCAGGCCTTCTCCAGGTCACTTATGTGAGCCTTTCCCCCTGACAGAGACATGGCCTGCATGATTTAGGAGATAATTTCCATGTTGGCTCCTCTGAGCATTCAGGAAAAGCATATAGTTTTTCACCACCTAAATCACCTTGGAGATACAGAAATGCATTTTAGAATTGTGTAGTCATTATCTTAAAAAGAAATAGTGATGGGTGGTAGGCTGTGGGATGAATTTGCATGGAGATTAGGGTGACTCTGGGATTTACGCATGTTTAGTATTGAGAAGCACATTTTTCCTTGTTCTCATTGAAGCTGTAAATATTGATCTGATTTTTCAAAACCAAAAGTACAGTTCTTGTAGAGTTGACTCTTTTCCATTGGAAATGCCCATTACTCTTCTGATACAAGAGGGAAAAATGGCTGGCAAATGTATTTATTACTGATTCCTTCCATGTATAGTACATTCAGGGAGGGGAAATGTGCCGGAGAAAAAGTCATAAATATTTATATTTTAATCCAATTTCCTTTCAAAATGTTCCCAATTGTATTGAAAAATTGCATCAAATGCATTTAATTTAACTGTAGGATGTGAAAGCCGCCCAAGCAGAACTGGAGAAGGCCTATGCAGGGACAGAAACAGAGAAGGCTCTTCGCCTCAGCTTGGAAAGCAGGCTCTCAGCGATGAAGAAGATGCAGGAGGGGGACTTGGAGATGATTCTGGCTCTGGAAGAGAAGGACAGGTCTGGCCCTGCTGCCTGGGAACTCTTAACATCTCATCATCTGGTGTGGGAGAGGAATCTTCCTATCTTTTCCTTTCCTCTCTTCTGTCATTGTTCTTCACTAGAATGGAATGCCTTACTGGAGTGCATCCAGCACAGCAAGATAGGAAAGTGGGGATCGGAGTAGGGCAGGAAAAACGGAATGAGATAATAGTGGGTAAAAGACATGTTCATGCTGAAAAGGGACACTTCCATCCTAAGTCTAGTGTTTAGCTTTGTCTGTAGCTTCCTCGTAGTCAAAGGAAAAAAAACAATCCTGTGAACTTGAGATTCGAATTACCCATGAGCTAAACCAAGCCATGGATTCGTGAGAAGTCCAGTTTTGTTTGGCTCTATCAGATGGAAATTTCTACTTTGCCTCTTTCCACAGGGAACAGTAAGTGGTGATGCCCTACAATAACTACTAGTGAATTTTGTGTTATCTATTTTCCATCATGTTTTTTAATGCTGGCTAGAGGCCCAAATTAAGCAGTGTTATAGGAAAAGAAGAAGATTGTAGAACAAATACAGAGTTCTTCAATGCATAGCGAATAAAATATATGCTGTTTGTTCAGAGAAATGAATGGGCAGTAGGGTTATTAGGGCAACTTTAATGACCATTGTGACTTGCAGCTAAACTTTAGACAAAAACATGTTAAGAAGAAGTTGAAATTTTCTTCTGACATTTTGATTCTTTTATTTGTTGGTCTCTAAGAGGGAGGTAGAGTTAACAGAGTAGGAGGTAGTGTTAACACTGTTGAGCCCCACCTATTTGGAATTGGATGAGATGGTTCCAGAGTGAACGGTCTCCTCCAGAAGATTCCTTTCTTGGTCACTCAGTGCCCTGTGAAATGGTGTGTCCCAGAACATTATTTAGTTAGTTAATAGTTTATACTGGCACAGATTCACTGTGTGGCAGAGGTTGGCCTTGAACTCCTGAAGTTCCCTGTCACCTCCAGAGTTTACAGGAGCCCAGCTGTTTAGGTTCTTGTGACCAAGTGCTGTTTACCTTTACTTCTGATTCAGTGCCATCTTTTAATATTTAGGTCTGCCACTTTGTTTTCAGTGTGGGGTTGGGAAATCAGCTGAGCAAGCCTTCTGGGATTCTCTGTGAGAGAGGACAAAATCAGTGCTGATGGAGCCTGTGGTCAGGGTCATAGTTCAGTACCCTCTCACTTAAGGGATTCAGAGGACTGTATTTATTGTGTATACTGTAACCTCTTAGCTGCTGCTGCTGCTGCTGCTCCTCTTCCTCCTCCTCCTCCTCCTCTTCCTTCTCCTCCTCCTCCTCCTTCCTTTTCAATTTTCTCTTGGATCAGTGTTTACAGGTGGTTTTTTAAATTTTAATTTTGGTGTGTGTGTGTGCACATGCTCGCACGCGTTCTCACAGCGTATGCGTGTGCATGGAGGTCAGAAACTGGCCCCCTTAGTTTTGATCTGTGAAATGGAAGTGTTGTGCCTGGACCTTGGTAGAAGAAATGAATTATCAGCCCCATATATCTCATTGCAATTCAGTGTTGCCAGGAAGAGAAGGGGTTCCTTCTGTTGGCTTCTTCCCCCAGGTATCATCCATGAACATTTAAGAGCTACCACATTGAGAAATTCTACATAAATCGTTGTTGTATTCCATGATCTCTCTCCCTGTTGATTGACAGTGAAGTTCTTTGAAGGCATATAGGCCTGTCTTTCTTAGAGAACTATAGATCGTAGAAGTTAAATTTGGGTTAAGGAACCCAAGGAATAGATTAGACTGGAGTAGAATGTCTGAGTGGCCATAGGGAAAAAAAGGAGAATTCTTGGTACCTGGGATTGAAAAGAAAGGAAAGGTTCAGAAAGGGTTTGTAAGAAATTATGGGACAGAGTCTTGTGAGAGTCCTGACATATTTAGCAGTTACTTCATCGGCTCTGTTGGGTGATTTATTCAACAGATATTTCTTGTGTATCTTCTATTCCACATAGCAGTGATTACAGTAATAAGGGAGACTTCCATTGTCAAAAATCAAAGCTTACCACGTTGGCTAGGTGGAAGAGGTGGAAGGCAGAAGCAAAAGGATTCGGACTGGATGGGATAAACACTAGATTACTATTAGTGTTTACAAATTCAGGGGAAAGGGTCCCAGAGAAGCTTTCTTGTATTAAGTAGGTGTTCCCTTAACTGAGACTCTCAGGGATATCTGAAACCTGACTGTATTTAGCCCTTCACTTGCTATGGACCTCCATCCCCCAATACTTACATATCTGTGTTAAAGTTTAATTGATAAATTAGCATAAGAGATTACAAAAAAAACAGAGAGTTGTGGCAATAGTCTGTAGTAAAAAGTATTTGAACATTGTCTTTTTTTTTTATAAAAAATACTGTACTGGGCTTCTTGTGATGATATGAGGTGATATGTGGTAGCATGAAGTGGGATAAGTGACACAGGCAGGCATGATATACTGTTAGGTGACTGTGTAAGGGTTATTTAATTATAAGCATCATGAAACAGTCTGACAGTTGTGACTACTAATTGATTAATAGGGAGGTAGGATATACAATGTGGATATGCTGGGCCTTATGGAAGAATCTGGACTTCATCTGAAGGGCATGGAAAAGTCCATTGAAGAGTTAAGGGGGAGAAGCTTGGGGAAACCACATGATTAGATTTAAATTTATTGCAGTTCTTTGTTTGTCTTGGAGATGGTCGTTGGGCTCTCATGCTGATGTAGACATCCAGATGGATAATGGCGACCAAGATGGAAAGTCTGGAATGGGATGGGGACAAACAGGTGGTGAGAGAAAGTGAAGTGGACACAGTGGGCTTAAGGGCTTTGGTAGCGAAGGGAAAACACTGCACTGATAACCCCTCTTTCAGTTTTGAGAATGAGTAGCTGAAGGGTGCTGGTACAATTTACTCAGTTTGGAGGAAGATGAGCAGTGAGGAGAGGAGGTGTTTTGAGGTAGGAATGGGAGGGTGATGCTTCCAGTTAGGACAGGAGTGTGGGATCTGTGAGAATCTATGAGTAGAGGTGTGGCTGAGGGGAGGTGTGGGTGAGGGGAGGTGTGGGTGAGGGGAGGAGGTGTGGGTTTCAAGATTCAGGTTGAAATTGGAGGAAATGAGGATTCATGCTTAAAACATGCCTTGGTCATACATTTGGAACTACAGAGACAAAAGTGGTTCTGCTTATGTAGAATGGATAGATAGGTTCCAATAAACATTTTGATAGAGATGAATTTAGGGCTCTCTATTTAGGCATGGGGAGTCCTAGAAGTTGCCCATGAAGAGCATTGGCATGTGCAAAGTAACAGAATATGTACACTTTGTGTACAAAGCCTGCACATGTAGACCATCAGGTTATGCTGCTTAAGTTTGGATTCTTACTTGTTTAGGGAGAGAACATTTGGAAGAGTGTGTAGACTGGTTCAGGTGATGGCTTCTCCATGGATATGGATGGTCAGGTTGGGGTCTTGCTGAAGGTTGTATCTTCTTGGCATTTGCACAGGCCTGGCTGACTAGACAGGTATAGACCTGGCTTGTCAGGCCTACAAATGTGTTAGTCTGAAAGATGAAGATGTCCTAGTTAAACTCCCAGAGACCAGCAACCAGCTGTCATCCTATTTTTCCCTAAGGATATGAACATTTGGTAAATTTCTAGGGATAAATCTCATTGAGCCCATATTTAAGTCAAGGTCAGAAGGTTAGCCCAGCACAGCAGCAGGGGTCATCAGTTATATCCAGGTAACATGGATATGGATCAGCCACACAGAGGACTCTGTTGTTGGGCGTGGCAAGCTATTGAATCTTGGGGTATAAGTAGACATTTCCTATCTTGAATGTTTGGTCCCAAATAACGGACTCAGAGGCTAAATATGAATTATAAATGCCCAGCCAGGATCTTAGGTTTGTTACTAACTCTTACACTTAAGTTAACTCATATTTCTATTTATGTTTTGCCACATAGCTTGTTACCTCATTTTTTTGTGTGTCCTGTTTGTTCAGTGTCTCTGACTCCACCCTTCCTCCTCCATTCTCTCTGTGTCAGGCTTTCTCGCCCATCTCTTCTTGCCCTGCCATCAGCCAATATGTTTTTTTATTAACAATGACAATGAGCTTAATCCACAGTCTGGCCCTTTTTTGCATGGGTACTCACAGAGTCTTCCTGGACTTCCGCCATCTTTGCCCCTACTTTAATTTCTTCAGTCTGGGTTTTGAGCTGATCTTCATCTGAAGGTTATAAGAGTGAATTACCAATATGTAGCCAGGTAAAGATTAGGGTATATTTATTAGAAATATGCCTTACTTATAGAGCACCTAGCCAGCTGGCAGGGAGCCAAGTAAGAAGCAAGCCGATGGAGCAAGGGCAGAAGAAGGGGCTACCATGTTCATCCCCTCACTCTTAAACCTCCCTCCCCTCACTCTGACCACGCCCCAGGGCACACCTGGGGCCAGCCCTGAGGAGGCATGGTTACGGTGTCCCCTGCAGAAGGTGATCATGTTGGGGACCCCTACAGGTTGGCCATAGCCAATACATAGGTTTTCTTAAAACTAAATAGTATTTTTAAAAGTTGCTGACATTGAAAACATTGAATTCCACAGAAAAGTGAGTTATCACTTTTCTTGAGCCCAAAGATGTAACACTTGCTGGTGTCTCATTGGCTCAAGACTGCTGCTCCATGTGATGGGCTGAGCCTTCAGTGGCCTTTAGTTGTCCTGGCTCTGGCCCCCACCTTGAAGTCTATATTTGGTGAGTTTTAGCACTCCATTTGCTTATTGATTATATCAGAGCTGAACCCCTAGAGGGCAGTATTGCTCCTCCCTCCAGGTTTCTGGGCTATCATGTAGATCTCATTGGTGCTCTGATGCCAGTGCACGCTGCTGCTAGGTGTTTCTGTGTCTCCCTCCTCGCTTTTGACAGGGAAGCCAGGTGCTTCACGAGGGTAGTTCTGCCAGACCTCCAGGCCTCTACTTTTACAAAACTAGGTTGCTTTCTAGGCTTAGCTACAAAAGGCTCTTTGGAAAGTCGTCCGTCCGACAAAATAATTGTTGAATATTTAAAAGGTAGTATGTATAGGGCTGGTTTGGAGACATGGCTTAGTGTATAAAATGCTTGCCATTTGAGTATGAGGACCTGAGTTCTGATTTCCAGCACTCATATAAAAGCTGGTGTGATGATATGTATCCCGGTATGGCAAGGCAAAGAGACAAATGGACCCCTGGAGGTTGCTGGTCAGTCAGTCAGCCCAGCTCAGCCAAAATAAGGTGGAAACACAATTGAGGAAAATATTTGGACATCGATCTCTGACCTCTGCACACATCTTCATTGATAAGCACTTTTGTATACAAAACACATGCACACACACATGCCACACACATGCACATGTAATATAATCGGCATGCTAACTGTCATTTGTTGATTTCAGCTGTCTGACACAAGTGCACTTTTGTTTTAAGTTGTCCACTACAGGCTCAGAGAAGTAGAATGACTTAGCTTGGTCACAGAACAGTTGAATTTGGTTCCAAAGAGGGAACTGTTCACATCTAGAAGGTGTTATGGTTGTAGGTGGCAAAGCTTCTCTCAGACTCAGAGATGGAAGGTGCAGTTTAAGGAACTCTGGTGTTTATCAGGCAGGATAGGAAGGGGTTTGGACAGAAGAAATTGATAGCACATGCAAAGGCATAGAAGGGCACAGAATAGCTTTGGAGTGAGCTCTCTGTGAGCTGCTGAGGACTGATGGGGATCAAGATGAAGCTGGGGTTGTTAAGACTTAAAAGCCTTATCCCGAAGTATGGCTGTTAGCTTGAGATGTGGTGTGTTTTAAGCATTGTCTGCAAGCTGTGGAGAGATAGTCCTGCTTTTTAAATCTACACCCACCCAAACAGCTCTCGACTGGTTATTTGCTTAGGTTTCAGGAACAGATTTCTTTTGGAGCAGGGATTTCTTACTCAAAACTTAGCAAGCTGCTGCTATTGGTGAGGGTTGCCGAAGGTCTCTGAGCAGGTGCATGGCTTGACCAGACCAGGTGCAGCTCAGGGCTAAATCTCTGGGCCAGGCTAGAGACAAGGAGACTCATTAATGTCTCATAAATTCTGACCTTAGCTCTCTGACCTGCGAAGTGTGATTCTGTTTATGTGTATTCATTGGACACATCTACTTTGAAGATGTCTGGCCCTGCTTCCTACCTCCTCCTGCTCCACTGAGCTAAGAGAGCAGCTCAGAATTAATATTTAAATTTTGTTCTCTTTTAGACTGATTGAGGAGTTGAAGCTGTCTTTGAAGAGCAAAGAAGCTTTAATTCAGTGCCTTAAAGAGGAGAAATCTCAGATGGCATCTCCTGACGAGAATGTGTCATCTGGAGAACTCCGAGGACTTTCTGCCACTCTGAGGGAAGAAAAGGAGAGAGACGCTGAGGTGAGGCGACAGGGCACAGCAGGAGGGGGAGCATATCAGACTGTTCCATGTGAAGTGGGGCGCTCTTCAGTCTGCATGGTTTGCACAGTAACTTCCACATCCGAGTTCTCTGTCAGCTGAGGAATCTGCAGGAGCCGCCTTTGTTAGGGCCTGCCTTTGTTCATGAGTCTCATACTTCTGCATCTGTATTTTATCATGTGTTAATTTGCTGTCACCTTGGGACTTCTTTTTCATTCTTAGGGTTTTCTTAGTGTAAAATTGTACATTGTTCATGTCCATATTTCCTTTGTTGTTAGAGGTAGGCTTGCAGGCCATATTTGGTGTGAAACATCAGAGGCTGTGGTGGGAGGGAACTAACTGGTTCTGGGCCTAGCAGGACATGAGGTGATCAGCATACTGCCCTGTTCAGGCCTCCCAGCCTTTTGGCCAAGTAGAGATTGTGATCCCCTGGCTTAGTTTAGGACCAGCTTCAGAATAGTCATATTTCTCTAGGCTCCAAGAAGTGGGTTGTCAATAGTTGGGCTCAAATCTCCTGGACTCTTCTTCGCTCTTGTGACCTCCAGGGCAAGCTATGTTGACTTTCCATTCTCCTTGTGTGAAGGATGTCTGCTGAGTGGTCTGTTTACATCAGGGTATGTTCTGGAAGCTCAAGAAAGTTGGTGATTTCTTTATGGAGCAGGGTCCCTGTCCTTGTGACAGTAGCAGATTCTGTAGCCTCATCAGTTAGTTTTCATGGGGTTGCCGCTTCACCTCCCAGGATTTGTGCTCTAGTAGGCACTTTATCTTTTCTCCTGAAGCACCTGCTTACTCTGTGGGACTGATAGTCAAACTGTGGGCAGCTGTCTTTACACTAGTCCTCGCTCAAACCAAGGGAGGCTATGAAGAAGGGCACACTTGTGTTAATGAGGTCTGCAGCAATGGAGGGAATGCTCATTCAGATGGCTGTGGGGAAAGCCTTCCCATGGCCCTCCTCTTTCTTCACATGGTCCTTATTCTACTCACTCACGAATGCCTTTCCCTAGGCTGCACAAAGGGAATGGCAGAAGGAGAGAAGCCACTTTGAAGAGAAGATCCAGGTATGTTGATTCATTTTAAGACTGTATTGAAGATTTACTCTCTTCTTGCTCATCATTTTATTCTGAGTGCAACAGATAATTCTTTGTGACAGTAGGTGTCGTTTATCTAATGTTGCTGAGTGTTAGTTATGCATAAATAAAGCACAGTAGAGGAAGTTCCTCAATCCTTGCCATAACTCTGATGTGAATGTTCCCATTTTGTAGTTGTGGTAGCTGAGGCTCAGAGAGGTGAAGTCACTTGCTCATGATCATATAGCTGAGAGGGAGGAATCTGCCTGTTTGATTCCATCACCTGGGCTCCAAGGGCCCTTAGTCACAACAGCTGGAATTTGTACAGTGCCTGCCAGCTTAGAAGTACTTTCACATCTATTATCTCTTCTGATCCTCACAACAGCCCAGGAGAGAGGCAGCAGTGATTATTTTAAGATGTGAACTCAAGACTATAAATGTAAGGCTCAGTCCCCATCAAACCAAACTCTCTGCTAGCTTTTGTAGCATTAAGGAATGAAATTAATGATCTGTTATTCCCTCCAAATAACCTGGTGCAGTTTCGAAGACTCTGATGTGGCTGTATTCAGATTTTAGAAGGCACTGGAGTCCTTCCCATAGGAATAGCTGTCAGCTTCTCAAGCGATCAGATCCCCTTCCTTTCACCCGGCCCTGTTGCCGTGAGCAGTAACACAGTAACTGGGAGCTGATGCCACGACGTTCGGCTCGAGTAGGAAACATTAATCACAGGTTGACAGGAATAAGATAGAATAACTGCATTTGAGTGTGCTCTTAAAGATATATTTACAGTGCATTTTGGTTGGAACACATCAACTTCGTGAATCTTTTTCTAATCTAATTTAGGCACTTCAGGAGGACCTGAGAGAGAAGGAAAGAGAAATTGCTACAGAGAAGAAAAATAGCTTAAAGAGGGATAAAGCCATTCAGGGCCTAACCATGGCATTAAAATCAAAGGAAAAAGAGGTATGTCTGAGGAGTGAGGTGGGATTTTTCTTTATTAGTTTCTGTGGCTTGCCTGGCCTCTCCTGAAGTTTTAGCTCTAGACACAAAGTTTTAAGTGCTAGAATAGTACAGAAAGTGGGTCCTCAAGTCAGCTGGAGTTGTGACAAACCGTTGTCAGTGCTGTCAGTAACTAAATGTGAGTAAAACATTTATTTGTTAAGGTTTCTAGTAACCCACATTGAAAGAGGTGCAAAGTTGTAAGTTGTAAGATGTAAGTTAATTTTAATAGTGTATGAACATAGTAATGTCAGCTTGCAATTAGACATGAGATAAGAAATGGTGAGCTTCTTGCCTCAGCACCAAGTGTTGTGGAATATTAAGATATGTTACATTTGTTTATCCTGTGGAATATTTGTTTAATGATGTAAAGATGTGTTACATTTGTTTGATTAAATAAAATTAACCTAGGGTCAGGAGGTTGAGTCTGCAACTAGCTGACAGGAAGTGGTAAGGAGGAACCATGTGGAGCTAGGGTTCTTAAGTAGGAGCTGAGCAGAAGGATGCCCTGTTTTGGGGGAGATGCCAGCTAGGAGAGAAGGTTAGCTACTTGCTGTTCAGCCTCTGAGCTAGTAGAATTTCACCTCAACCTTTGAATCCTGAGTTCTATAGAGAGATAGAAATCTAGGTAAAGTTCGCTTTAGTGGCAGTGATAGAGCCTGAGGGAACAGAATTCCCTCCTGGCTGCGGCCAGTGAGGCCAAACCACTACTGGTAGCTACGGAGTTCAGTTGCCGATGAGGACAGAAGTTGCTTAAGGGGTAGCTACTGACTTTAATGAAAAACAACAACCAAGGATTTCAAATTCAGTTGCACTTCTAGCATCTTAGTTAAGACTTACCCAGGCATGTGGCTAGTGACTAGCCCTAAGGTGGTTACAGACTGACTCTTTTGAAAGACAACTGAAATTTGAGATGAAGGTATTTGGGAGGCAAGGCAGTGACTGGGAAGCAAAAAGCTCAGCTTGTTGCCTTTGGGATCCAAGGTGGTGGCTGATGGCTCTTTTCTTGTCACTTGGTCTGTTTTATCTCAGTGATTAACTATGGACATCACTCACCAAAGAGACCCAGCTCTACTCTTGTGGGTTTGGCAAGTCAGTGTGATGGGTGTTGAAACTGAGGGAACTGCAGGTGCTGGAGAGGTAGGGGGAAGAATACCTGATCCTGATTAGGGTGGATGTTGGGAGTGGATGGTGCTTAGAAAAGAAGATGCTGAGTTAAGTCCTAAATGGTGAGAAGGCATAGTCTGGGGATGAGATGCAGGTGGGAGGCCAGTTAAAAAGAGAAAACAAGGGCCAACGACACCAAAAAAAAGTCCTTTCAATGAGACTGTTGATGTTGGATATGTTGCAAGGGCCCAGTGGTGGTCGGTGCTAATCATATCAACTGTTGGGGTGGGTACATGGCTTAGTAGCAGGAGGGGTGATCACATTTTTACCTTAGAGAAGCATCTGGCTGTATTTGAAGAGTGATTTCAGGAAATAGAGAATGGAGTCAAATGTGGTTAGCTCAAGCAAGAACCAAGAAGTGCTTTTTTAGAACACAGGTCACAGCAAGCAAAATGGAGGAAGAGAACTGTATTCAAGGAATAAGATTTTAAATAATTAAAAATAGAAATAAATTTGGAAAATCTGATGGTTAGATGTAAGAATTCAGAGAAGGAACAGTCAGGGTGACTGTAGGTGTCTGGTTTATGTGACTGGGGATGTGTGGTGACACTGACATGGCCCAGAGCATAAAAAGTGGACCATGACATTGAGATAGGAGCACTGGCCTTGAGGAATGTACAGGCTGCCCTAGTTAGAAGGCAGAGAGCAGTACAAGTCTGAAGCATGGGGAGAGAGGGATAAGGTTGACCCAACATAGTTGTTTTGGGAATCGCTTGTATTTAGTCATGGGTTAAAATTCTGATAGTTGACCAATATATCCTGGAAAAGCATAGACTGGGAAGGAAGGAAGCCAAGGCTGAGACTATAAGGATGAGTCAGGCATCCAGAGGGGACAACAGGAATGGTTGCTGAAGTAAAATACTGGTGCTGACAAGCTAAGGGAGTGCAGTGTCAACTGTAGTTGCTTTTGACCATAGGACTGTGATTTATATGATGCACTGGGGCCCCCATGGAGTAGGAGACCTTTAGTGTGTTGTGACACTAGTAGTAGAACAGTTACAAGGTGTAGTGGTCAGAGTTCATGGTAGATCCCAGGGTAGAGAAGCTGAGAAATTTTGGGAGAAACCACACAACTGGATAAATCATATGGGTGGCAATGGTAATAGTAGTAATGCTCATTATTTTAGCACCAATGTCCATTACCTCATGTAGCACTAACAACATCATATTTGGATGAGTGGTGTTCATCATGTATTAGTCTGTTTTTCATTAATGAAATATTAAAGGCAGGGTAACTTTATAAAGAGGCTCATTACACTCATTTTTTCTGATGCTTAAAGTTCAAGATCACACTTGATTCAGCCTCTGATGAAGCTCTAGTGGCTAAAATAGGAAGGCAGGCAAGAGGGGCAAATCATGTTGTCAGATGAAGCCTGAGAGGTTGGGTTCCTCTAGAAGGCCTAGGAGCATGTTCCAATTATCCAAGGACCTCTCACTAGCATGTACTTCTTGAAAGCCCACCTTGTTCTAACATTGACACATGGAGGAGCAGGCTTCTGATACATTGACACTTGGGGGACATACTCTGACTTTATGTAGACCATGGCACCAGGTGAGGGGATTGAGTCTCAGAGAGGGTAAGCCACCCAGTTACCAAATGGCAAAACCAGAAATCCCACTCAGAGCTCTCCTTCCTTCGAAGTCCATTAAGTACTACAGGTCAAGGGAAAGAATGTGGGCTTCGAAGGAAGGGGAGCCCAGCTATGTATGTTGTTGCCATTTGTTGTTTTCCCAGGTTGAAGAACTTAAGTCCAAAATCCAAGAGCTCACTGCTGCCTTCACCAAAGCCAGAGAGGCTCTCTTGAAAACACAGGTCACAAAATGCCAGGTAAGAGTTTTCATTAATGTAAGTGGCTGTCTCAGGTCCTCATTCCAAGAGATGCCTGGACTTTGCAACTGAAGGGAAACAGGAGACCATTGGTGGTCTTTAGTGATAGAATTAGTTGAGTCTGATTAAAGGTTGCTCCTTTCCGACTTTGGGGAACTTCTCTGGCCTCTCAGTGTGGTGTGGTGGTGATGATGATGATGGTGATGATGATGATAGCCACTCTCATAGTTGCAAGTGCTGAGTTTACTTTTAGATAGCATATCTCATTTAATTTTTAAAGTTCTTGAGGAAAATGATTATCATATCCTGGTATTCATGAGGTTTTTGAGGCTCATTAAGTGTGTGTGGCTTACTCGCTGTCACACAGCTATCAGATGGTAGAGTAGGATTTAAGTTCAGCAGTTATAACTAATAGCATCCATTTGTTGAATACATACTTTGTACCTAGTCCTGCTACATGTTGTCTGTAGATTATCCCCTTTATCTATGTAACTTTTGAAGTAGATACTGTTTATCTTCTTGTTTGATTGGTGAGGAACTCCAGGGTTAGAAATGTGGCCTGCTTAGGGTCACCACACTGGTGAGTGACAGGTGACAGGGCCAGGATTTGATCCCAGGGCTCCTGGCACTCCACAGCTTGGAGTCCTTTGCTCCTCCTTCCTGGCTGCCTCTTCCTTCCTGCTGCTTTCTGAATTGGTGGTGCAGAGTCTGATGCCTTTGATGTCTTTTGTGCCTACAATGTTGAGCTTCCAGGATGCCTCCCACCCATCTTCATGACAGTCCCTCTCTTTTTCTCATTGTAGTTTCATGCTTTTAATTATTTCAATACAATTTATAGAAGCCTATTACTTGATGTGGAATCAATGAAGTTCCATCATCAGGTTAAGTCCATACTTGCTTAAACTCTCCTCTCACCTCTGCACCAGGGGTGTTCCTGGTGGTAGGGTAGAAGTTCAATCTGATTTAGGGCTATTTGACTTCCAAGATTCATACCTCCTGCATTATCTGTTGCAGAGCTTTGGCTCACAATAAAAATAATTGTGGTAATTTAGTTCAAATCATGGATGCTAGCTGCATAGACAGATCTCTGCTTTTGGAATCTTAAGACTTGCTTCTACTGTTTTGACAGTAGATGATGAAATTGAGCTGCACTTACATTTTACACCATTTCCCTCTTGCTTAGAAAATAACAAGCATTAAAGGCCAAATTCTTTGGAAAACCATCAATATTTTCTGTTGCTTAAGGGGAAAAAAATTCTATCAGGTGATAGCCAGAGTCCAGGTATCCTTATGAGCCCTAGTATAGTTGGCTTTTCCTTGTTATGTTGGGGCTTGAAGGAAAACAAGCAGCCTTGTAAACCTGACTGCCACTTAGACATAATACATGCATTTATTAATTTAATGGCCCTTGTTCCTGGTCAAAATGCCATACATGTGAGTGAGGTATTGCAGTAGCAGCATGGACTGGGTCTTTGTTTGCAGTCCACAGGGATCAGGTGTGTTGTGTATCAGGTTGGCAGGTCTCAAAACATCTCTTGATGCTTCATCCAAATCCGTATGCTTTTGACCTTTTGAGAGTGTATGGGGGCAGGACTAGCATGGCAGTCTGTTTCCAAAGCATGTCCGTTGTCCTGCTCTGATTGTGTGAGTATGCACTGCATGTTTGCGTGAGTGCTTTATTTGAGGTATATGTAGTTTCAATGTTGTACAAACTTTTAAGTGTGTTTCTTTCATGTAAAAGGACATATTGGTCTGTGGTGTGATTTCAAGTAATTGTAGCCTGAGTTGAAATGCCCTTGTGGGAGTTGGAGAGATAGCTCAGTGGTTCAGAATACCTGCAGCTCTTCCAGAGGGCATGAGTTCTGTTCTCAGCACCCATGTAGGATGGCTTACAACTATCTGTAACTCTAGCTCTCAGGAAGTTTGACACCCTCTTCTGGTCTCGGTGGATAACTTCACCCATGTGACCCCCCCAGACATATACAATACATTAAATTAAAAACAAAATAAGTCTTAAGAAAAAGACAAAGGCCAGGGTTGATTTGACATCAGACTTGACAATGAAGCAGCAGCAGGTGATATTTAAATTCTTGTGATATTTAAATTCTTAGAGTAGCTGCCAAGGTACATATGCACAGACTCAACTTCAGATCACAGGTGTGATTGTGTGCAGGTTACAGTGTGGGTTGGCTGGTGCTCCTCATGCCCAATCTCAGCTATTTCTGGATAGGAAGTGGCATTCTCCTCCAGGTGTAAAAGTAACGACACTTACTGAGGGATACTTAAAAGTTGTAGAAAGAAAGTAATAGAAATTAGCTGTAGTTGGACTTTTTTGTCAGGACCATTGGCTTCCCATTATCGACACAGTGACTTATTATGAAAGCTCGACTGATTGCTTAGGCTTGTTTCTAACTAGCTCGTATATCTTAAATTAACCCATTTGTATTAATTTACTTTCTGCCTTGTAGCTTTGTTACCTCATCTCCTTCATGCACATCCTGCTTGCTTTACATCTCTGGTGTCTTCACCTTCTTCTTCCCAGTGTCTTTTCTGCACAGAGGTTTAAACTATTATTGTCATGGCAGAAAGCATGGTGGCATGCAGGCAGAAATGGTGCTAGAGAAGGAGCTGAGAATTTTACATCTAGATTGGCAGACAGCAGGAAGAAAAAGCCATATTGGACCTTGGTTGACCATCTGAGACCTCAGCGCCAGCCCCCAGTGAAGCACTTCCTCCAACAAGGCCATACCTCCTAGTAGTGCCACTAACTATGAGCCTACTGGGGTCATCTTTATTCAAATTGCCACACCAAGACTGTTCCCAAACTCCTAGGCTCAAGTGATCCTCCTGCCTTGAACCCTGGAGTATCTGGAACTATAGATGTATACTGGGCCATTATATATTTCTCATTCTATAATCCTTTCTTTAACATTCTTGCCATTGTAGCATAGTGAAGATCTACTCAGACTTTTTAATTTTCATATTGAAATAATTTTCAACTCACATATATGTTTCATCATCTCTTTATTCTTCCAAGGCAATATCTCCCAAGCCACATAGCTAAAACCGGTCCAGAGCATTTGAATTCTTTTATAGTGAGCAAGAATAATTTGCCTAATTTTACATTTGGCCTTTAGTTTCTGGCCACATGTAATTGGGCCAAATATTTGCCACTTGGGCATCATTCAGTAAAAGGTAAAGAGCCCTCTAGGGAAGTTTTTCAAGGGGCCATTTAAGGAAAATTTAACATGGAAAGTGTTTTTGTGAAATGAGTCAAATGTGTGGATTTGAGTTCTTTGAGGTTGGATATTTAAGGAGGCTTTGCCATCATTATTCATGCAATAATCCTTCAGAACTTCCACCACTTGTTAACTGTGAACAATAACTATGTTTAACAATCCACTAACTGATGCCCATCTCTAGCTTCCTCTTCAAATTTAGTCGTCTTGTTTTTATTCTTGCCAGTTTATTGGTGTTAATTAGAGTCTTTACTGGTGAGGGCATGTGGTGCTGTGCCAGAGAAGAACACGGGCTGGGAATCATTTGAATTCCAGATTTAATTATGGGCAGTCTGATGATAGACTAGTCACTTAGCAGCCCTCAGCTTCATTTACTTATGAGCATAGTTTAACTCCTTGTTGACGATGAACATTTTGCAGTCATTGCTGGCCTTTGCTTCTTGAGTTTATTTAAGCACCACCATCAACATTAATACCAATTTGGTCTCATATCCCATGCTTCTGCTTCTTTTTATTTAATTTCAAAGGAAATAAAACCAGAAGATTCCAGAAAGTTACATTGGAACAGATGGTGTTCGTTCTCACTCTATGTTCCTGTGCCCTAAACTTCATTTAGAACAAGGGGCCAGATGCCTGGGTTGTAGGGAGCCTGGAAAGGCACAGCTCCTAAGATCCTAGGTTAACTGTGGCTGTAGTTCACTTCCCGAACAAGTTGACCACTTGAATAGCTAAAAGTTGACTAGTGACAGGCAGAGATGGACTTCTTGAATCTGGGGCCTTAACTTCAGTCTGAGTTTTGACTTTGACAACACAAGTATTATTTTTGGATTTTTTCATCTTGAGCCTTGGTCTAATTGGAAGGACAAACTTACTGAAAAGTTTACTTTTGTCCTGTGTGATGGTACATGCCTTTAACCCACTTGGGGTACAACACTTGGGAGGCAGAGGCAGGTGGATCTTTCTTAATTCAAGGCCAGTCTGGTCTACATATCTTGTTCCAGGCCAGTTAGAATTACATGGTGAAGTCCAGTTGCAAAAAGAAATATTTCCTAGTGGAAATATTACATAGATGTCACAAAACCATGTTTTTAGGAAACTAGAAAGAATTAAAAATGTGGAATCTGAGCATGGCTCAAACCATGTCACAATTATGTAGATTTTCTTCTATGTTGTAGACTTTTATTTTTAAGTAATTTATACATTGGGCTTCTGTTTTCACTTAATAGCTTAGGTTTATTCCTGTGTTTTGATACATGCCATATTTTCTGCGATTTTGGATTGATGCACATTAGGTTGCTTGTTACCAATTACTGTTGGAACTCTGTGATGAGTAACTGAATATGGGCTCCTCTCTTTTGATTCTTCTGAGAGTAGATCTCAGGAGGAATCGCTGGGATGCACATAGACTTTTTTGTATCTGAAAAGACACATGGTCAGTCTATAACATCAGTTTATAGAGGGCATTGTTAATTTGCAATCCCTCACATATTTCCAGGCTTCTAGTTGCTTAGCTGGTTCTTAAAGCATTACAAAGGAAGAATATCATTTCAAAACAAGCTGAATAGCATCAGATAATCCACTTAAACACTCTTACTTTGTAACTTAGAACTTACTTTACAGTTCATTCTTTTTATTGTCCATGGTTTAGAACATTTTGTTCATTTTTGTATATTATGTAAATATTTTCTCAGGTGAATTGTATATTAATGAAATAAAGATATCTTGATACATTTAGCCCTTGAACTTTGAGGACGTTAGAGTCTTTCAAAGTAGACTTTGACTGCCATGCTGGCCAGTGACTCCTGTTTTTGCAGATAACTCTAGGTGTGAGCCATAGTAACAAAGGAGAACATTCCTGGTGCTAGGACCCACGGCTGCTTGTCATTTTTTCTTTGTTTTCTGTTGTTATTTTATTGGCCGATTGTGATTTTGGGGCTTAAACCCAGGGCTTCACACATGTCAGGCAAGGGCTAACATGCCCAGTTACCTTAAAACATTAGAAAATACAGAGAAACAGAAAAGTCAACTGTATTCCTACTGCATTGAAGTCAGTTTTGTTACGGTTTCGTTTCTTCTTTTTTAACTGCACTGTGGGCTTTCCTCCCTTCCCAACAAAACTGCAACTTAAACTTTGTCCTGTATCCTCCCAAGATGTGATTCCTTGGGCTTTGCATACTAAATACTGCCTGTTAGGATTTTTTATTTTGTTTTTATTATTACTGTTGTTATTATTTTCTTCTTCCTTACCTGGAAGGCAAAAACAGGAGCTCTTCTAGGTTTATTTATGTGAAAACCAGCTCCCTTTACTTTCCCTCTCTCCTAGGGCTCTGAGGACTACGAGGCTGCCCTGGAGGAAAAGGAAGCCCTGTTGACCAAGCTGCACTCAGAAAACCTCACAAAGAGCACAGAGAACCACAGACTGCTAAGGAATGTTAAAACGGTCACCCAGGAGTTGAGTGACCTGAAGAAGGAGAATCTGAGACTAGAGAGGGACCTGGAGGAAGCCCACCAAGAGGGGGACAGACGAGCCCGAACCATCCATGTGAGTGCCTCCTGCCCTCCTGATATGATGAGTGGTGCATCAGGGCTGGGTCTTGTTATGGTTTCTGCTCATAGGGAGGTGGAGGCTGTGCAGAAAACTCAAGAAAATCTGAAAATCTAAGGGTTCTCCTTATCTCCTTAGTAGAAATGACCCTGCTTGACACTCTCACTCACCCCTCTGTCTCACTGTTTTCATCAAGTTGACAATAGTTTGTGTTCTGCTCTTTCATCCATTGCTCACTCCTGCTATGCTGCCAGGTTGTGAATGTTCTTTAGAGACATGTTTTTGGTGTCTGTGCATTTAGTCATTTGGTTGCTCTTCAGTTAAGCTTTCTTATTTCAAAGCTCTGGGTATTTTTACCTTGTAACCTAAGCTTCAGCAATGCTCCTGTGTGTGAGTATTTATCCACTGGCTGTTTCTGACAGAGGTTTAATTACTGAGTCAAAACCCACCAACATTTAAAGAGTACTTTATAGATATCAAACTGTTCTCCAGACAAATTGTGCTGGCTCGGATCTGTTTTAAGACTGTGCTCTACTCAACGATGGGTATTAGCATTTAAGAATTCTCCCTAAATTTGTTACACTATTAAATTTCAATTCTGTCTAAACTTCAGTACTAAGCATGCTTTAATGGAATCCCTCCTGAGAGCATGTCTACATGCACAGCCTAGGTGTATCAGGCAGGATTAAGTCTGAGCCTGAGTGGTCATGGATTCTGTGTTATGAGCCACCTCTCCAGAGTCAAGAGTGGGCAGTTATTATAGGTAAGGCTTGGAGGAGAGCCCATAGGTACCACAGGCTCTAAGCAGTGATGCCAGGATTCACAGTTGCCATGCCAGTGTCAACAATGAGGTGTGGTGGTATATTATTTGTGATTTAATGAAGCCACTGGAGACCATGTAAAACTAGCCACAACCATTGAGCCAGGCAGTGGTGGTGCACACTTTTTATTCCAGGACTTGGGAGGCAGAGGCAGAAGGATCTTTGTTAGTTCAAGGTCACACTGAGCTACACGAAATTGATCCAGTCTAAAAGAGAAACAGTTCACACAAAGGTGATTTCAGCACTCGGGATCACATGTCTTTAATCCTAGCATCAGGGAGGTGGAGACAGGAGTGATATGGCTGGGCAGAGAACCGAATATAGAATCAGGGGATTGCAGTCTGAAGCTTGGTGGTGAGCAGTGCAGTCTGCATTGCACTCTGAGGATTTGTGGACACAGGATCACCTATTTTGATCTGAGGTAGAGGTAAGAGCTAGTGACTGGCTGCTTTGCTTTTCTTATCTTCAGCTTGAACCCTATAACTGAGGAGTGAAGTGAAGTACAAATGTTTGCGTGTAGTAATAAGGATTTCAACAAATATTCAGAGAACAATAATGGAGATTTAGAGAAGAAACCATCAGCTGCACTTCCACCACCTGAGTGAAGCAAGTCTTTTCTCTCGTCAGCATTACTTTCAGCCTCGGTGCACCTGGCCTTTCTATCCAGTCACAGACTGATAGCTGCCCTGTGGTTTGGGATCATTCACATTGCCTAAGCACCTTCCACATTGTCTAAGACACAGAATGGCCATGGTGAATGGCACATGCTCTCACCTATAGCTTTCACATGAGAACTTAATAATTTCCTTACAGGGTTGGACATTTTAGCTATTTAAATAATACACAGTTAACATCTCTGAGCATGTGGATGTTTTCTAATGAAACACCTAGGGTAAACTTTGAGGAGTGAGGGTATTAGATCACAAAGTGCAAACATTTTATGTTGTTAATTGTGCTTGCAGGTTGTCATGAGTCCAGAGGGGTATCCCATTGTGTGCTGCAATAGGCCAGTTTGTTGTTTTCTGATAGAAGACCTGTTTGCTATATTTTTGATGCTGATGAAATGCCTGGTGTGATTTCTGAAGCCTTTGCTCTCCTGTTGTTTACAGAAAAGGGAGGACACAAAATGCCCTGCCCCTGCTGTCTTCCCATCAGTCCAGCCAGATGAGGTTCTGAGGTTCCCACCTTGGGTCATATACTGTTTCTGTTGGCAGGTGTGTGTGTGTGTGTGTGTGTGTGTGTGTTTGTGTGTGTGTGTGTTCACACATTTATTGAGGGGTGAACAGTTGCCCAGAGAAAATAGTGTTGTTGTAAGGCTCTGGGAAGACCTTGAGTAAGTTGGCTTGGGACACACATCTTCCTGGCATCTTATTTGTAACTGCTTTTGTGCATTGTTCTGTACATGTTCCTGATATGGTGGTCTGGGCAGTTTCCTTATTTTTGCTAACATATTCCACCTCATTGCTATTTCTCTTTAACTCTTGGTTACAGTCTAGGAGTCTAGCTGTGTTCCTCTCAAGAGGGTGTTTTACATTGGATCATGGAGGTACAGTCTGGGGAAACATGCTGAGGTAGTTATTTTGCTTCATGGTGCTAGGATAAAAACACAGGTGGAAACATAGCCATGCATATCTTATCAGCTTGTTGCTGTTAAGTAGGCTATTTAATTATTCAGAATGCCTCCCACTCTACAGCTGCTGCTGGCATTGCTTTGTATTGACAGAGACAAAACCCCTAGCCCTCTCAGTGGCTTCTATTTCTGCCCTCAAAAAGAAGAGAAGTCTACTCATAATCCAGCATCATTGAGTACCTTGGATAAGCCCGCTCTACTAGGCATGGGCATGCTTCCAGAGCAGAGATAGAAACATACCACCACAAGAGCACAGAGGAAGGGAGTGGCTTGCAGATTGTTGAAGGCCCCTAAAGAAAATGCGTCATCTAGTTTATGTGGTATGAGACTAGGCAAACTCTCTGCCGACTGAGCCCTATCCCTAATGGTATTTGCATTTTCGAGTCTGGCTTACTTTGCTTAACATAATGCTTTTTTATTCCACCCATTTCCTTGAAAATGTCACAGTTTCATTTTTCTTTAAAGCTATATAGAATTCCAATGTGTTTATATATTAGTTACCTTTCTGTTGCTGTGATTTAATACTAGGATAAAAATTATCTTAGAGGAGAAAGGGGTTTATTTTGGCTTATGGTTCCAAAGGGATAGAGTCCATTGTTGCAGGCCAGGCATGACAGCTGTTAAGGAAACCATGATGGCAGGAACAGGAAGCTTGGTGATCACACTTTCCATCCATACACAGGATGCAAAGAGAGAGAACAGGAAGTAGAGCAAGACGATAAAACCTCAAACCCATTTCTCCTGGTGCTCCTCTAGCAAGGCTCTTAAAGGCTCTGTAACTGCCACAAAAGTACCACTCAATAGTGCCTCTAGCTGGGGAGCAAGTGATAAAATACATGGGATATTTCTCAGTCAAACCCCCACAGAATATATGCCAGGTTTTCTTTATCAATGTATTTGGTGGATATCCAGGCTGGTTCTATTTTCTGGGTGTTGTGAATAGTACAGAAATAAACATGGATTTTTAAGCATCTTTGCGGTATGCTGACTTTGTAATCTTTGGATGTATAAAAGGAGTATAGCTGGGTAATATGGTTGTTCTGTTTTCAGTGTTTTGAGGATTCTTCATACTGATGTTCGTAGTGGCTACATACATTTTCATTCCCACAGCAGAGAATAAGGATATTTCTTGCCTTGTATCCTCG